CCCTCCCTCATGAACTCTTACTAATTTATAAATTATTATTTTGTCATATCTTACACTGTCTGACATCAGTATTCTTTTATAATATATATTTTAAATTTTCTGTTAAGGTCAGTAGTAATGATCTCTGATTACAGTTAGTTATCTTTTTGTTTCTTTATTTTATAATCCAGACCAGGCTTTGTCCTAAGGGTGTGCCATACACTTACTTTTCTCTTTAAATTTTACTTATTTTGCTGTGGTTTAACACATACACAGAATAAACACACCAACTCAACAGTTCCTACACAAACCATTTAGTAACACTGATTACATTCAAGTGGTGCTAACTCTTCTCACCCCTTTTCTGAGGTTTCTTGCCCATTACTATAGTCACCACCACCCAAGGTTCCCATCTTCACTTCCAAGTTGTTGTTGTCAGTTCGATCCCATAGACAAAGATCTTCAAAGAGCTCGATGTTCACGGCAGCCTTTCTTCACAGGTTAACTACACTATTGTTTGATTTTAAGGAGACTTCAGAGGATGCTTTGGCTTAAGAATTAAAGAGTATCTCAGGGAATAGTATCAGGGCTTCATCAGAAAGACTTACCAATATTAACCACAGCATGGTGTATAGTAGTCAAAGCAGAGAAAAACTCAAATGTCCATCAATAAAAGTCTGGTTAATTACATAATGGAATATTCATTTGATACAACACTATTTCCCCATTAAAAGTAGTGAGGCACCTCTTTATGAAATAGTTTTCAAAAGACATTGTTAAGTTAAAGAGAGCAAAATTTAAAACCATGTGAGTATTCCAATTTAACAAAAATAAGACATAAAACAAATAAATAAGACATCTATATGCATATTGACATATGCTTGAATATTTATGGTACATACGATATCTCTGGAAAGATTTTAAAGGAATTGGTAAAACAATTACCTCTGAGGGAGTAAGGGGCAGGGATAGGAGGGAAACTTAATTTTCAGGTTTTGGTTTTGTTTTTTACACTTTTTCAATGACATACCATATGCCTGCACTTTATTCATCTAATAATAGCTATTGAGAAGAATTCATTAAACACAGAGACAGTAAATACAAGGGGTTTCGGAAAATTCATGGAAAATTCCCATTATCTTTCCATTTCAACTTCCCAGGAACGTTTTAAAGCCCCTCCTATAATGAACCTTTAGTTTTATAATCTACCAATGAGAGCAAGCAGCCTCCTCTTCTCATAATGGTGAGGCACAGAGTTTCTGGAGCCACAGAAGCAAGATGAACCCAAGATACTCTTTAAACCTTAGACCAAAATATCCCCTGAAGTCTTCTTTATACCAAATATAGGACAACTTAACATAACCAGTAAAGAATATCTGAGGAAAAAATTTAATTAATTTTAAAAAGAATATCTGCCTTGAGCACTGCACTCATAAAAAAAAACTCGATGGGATCAAACTAGCAGTAGCAACTCAAAAGATGAGACAGCAAGCTTACAGAAAGCAGCGAGTTTAGGAAAAGGACAGTGAAAATGGTTGCACAATTCAAAGAATGTGTCACTCAGTTGGACATGTAAAATCTGTTGAATACGTGTATGTCTGGCTGTGTATAGTCTAAAGAATTAAAAAAGTTAAAAATTGTCAAGTATTTTTTAATCTGACAATGAAGTCTTCTCCACAGATTTTTATTCACTTGTTAAGAAGACCCTCCACTGAGCAAAGTGGTCACTGAACAGAGCGCTTTGGGGAGAGGAATATAGAAGTTCAAAGCTATAAATCTGACTCAAACAGTTAAAACTTTTGTCAGAAACATTTCCTCAAATAAGCAAAAAACAAACCTTTGTCAGTAGATATCCCTCTGTGATTCAGGCTGGACCTGATCTGGTTTCCAAATTTTTCTATATTTTTTGGTTTGTACTGTTTTGTTTATTCATATTAGAGTGTATCTCAGAGATGTTATGTCATTGGGGGTCATCCTCTTGAAGGTGTTATATGTTTTTCTGTTTTTAGGTATATGAAACCAAGGATTGATGAACCTAAAGGGACAGCAAGTAGAATAAGGAGTTCAGGGGAGGGGCAGGGTTAAAAGGGAGACAATGTCAAGGAGTCCATGTAGAAAAAAGAATGTGTAGAAACTGAAGGTGGTGGCAATTGCTCAATTCTACCTGATGCGACTGAAATGTGGAATGATGTGATAAATGTATTAAATCCCAACTAATAAAAAAAAAAAAGAAGACCCACCACTGAACAAAAAACTTCAACATTCTATTGCTTTTACCTTAATTATTAGAAGAACATATAAAATCCTCTTGCTGTAAATTTGCAGACAATTCTCAAAAGGCCAAAAGAAAAAAAAAATTACTTACCTGAGGGCAGATGTCCTTGTAGTAACTCTCTGGGGAAAGAGACTGCTGGGGACAAGAGGCCAAAATCTTTGCGATCAAGTCACACTTCTTCCAGTCAGCAGCCATCACCTCAGCATCACTCCCGCCAGCTGCCCCCGCTGTCAGCAGTGGGTAGAGAGCAGAAAAGATCATGGCAGCCCCACGGGAAGTCCCAGGTGAGAGTACCCTTTAACATTTAGGGTCTCCAAAGCTTTTTTTTTCCTTATGGAAATTTGTTTTGTTTTGTTTCTGTAAGATAATCTACTCTTCTGCATTTTCCTTTGATCCTGACTAATGGGAAACTCAGAGTAGAAAGTGGTTAAAGCCGCTAACCAAAAAATAGGTGGCTTAAAAAAAAAGATAGGTGATTTAAATTCATCAGAAAAAGATGTAGCAGTCTGCTCCTATAGATTATAGCCTTGATTGGCAGTGGGTATTCTGACATATACTTGTTCACACTGCAAATATACCTATGTATATAACAGTGGAAAAAAACTTAACATAACCTAACATCCCTCAAGACTGAAAAATACTGGGCTTGAGGGGTAGGAACCAGTGTCTCAAGGGACATCTAAGTCACTTGGTATAGCACAGTT